TTGTCATGGAGAGAACCTATCTCTGTGGATGCTAAGAGTCAGTACTGATTTGCTGGCACATAGTCAGTCAGTCAGTCAGTCAGTCAGTCAATCAATCAATCAATCAATTAATCAATGTAATAAAGATACTATGTCCTTTCTTTTATGTTATCTGTGTTTGCTTATGGTGATTGGGGTGATATACCAAAAGTGTAAAATAAATAAAGAACCTACCAAGAACCTACCAAGAACCCAGGTCACTTGATTAGATAGCCCTTGAAGTTTATGCGTATATTCTCAGGTGCCACCCTCCTGCTGAGAAATGTAGTCTCTTAGAGGAAAGCCTGTGACTTAACCCCCTTGTTGTCTCCTCCAGGCTGAACTTGCTATTTGAGTGGTGACGCTGACTCTATCAAGTACACGCTATCCTTGAAAATGACTTTCTTGTGCCCTTGCTTCTGGACCTGGCCTTGGAGCTCATAGTACAGGCTCGACTTTCACCAGCATTTGGAGCTCCCGGATTTCTGCTTCAGAGGTGATGCTCAGACTCTGTCAGCTTATTCACATTGGTCTTCCAGCCTCTGTATTGATTCTGGGTCACTGCTGGACTTGGGATTGTAATGTTTTCCAGAGTTAAACTGAAGTAGCTAAAGACTCACCTGCTAACCATTCAGGGTTGCAGGACTGCAGAGACTGGATATCCAAATATTCCACGTATTTTAGCTCTTATAACCATATGTTTTCAAACATTTCTTGTGTAGATGGTCAGTTATATGATGAATGTGCAGGAATTGCACAGGGATCTGAGACACGAATCTCTTTTCACTATTTATCAAGTGAATCTACTGAAATCTAATAGAAGTTCTGGAATTGTAGCTTGCCATGGTGCCCTGAATTACAAATCTATTTAGATGAAATGTTCTTTACAACTCCAGGTTTTCAAAGGCACTTATATCATATTAGGGCAATTGCATATGATGTATTGTTGCCACCTAGGGCTGATTTAAGGAAATAGAAAGAATATTTTGTTAAAATAATTTTTTGTGTTAACCACCACATTTTAAAAGTTCCTGGCTAACTTCAAATGTTAACTGAAACAGAAGAGAGTTTTGCTTCCCTCTCTAGCTCTCATTCTCAATATCGTTGTCAGCAGATTTATGAAATATATGAAAAGTGCCACTAAATATTCCAATGAAATCTGATCTCTTATTTATAGTTTACATAAAAGTTGCTAGTTCATTAAAAAAAAATTTTTTATCCCGCCTTTCTTTTTATAAATAACTCAAGGCGTTAAACATACTTAATACTCCCTTCCTCCTCCTATTTTCCCCACAACAACAACCCTGGGAGGTAGGTTGGGCTGAGAGAGAATTACTGGCCCAAAGTCACCCAGCTGGCTTTCATGCCTAAGGCTGGACTAGAACTCACAGCCTCCTGGTTTCTAGCCTGGGGCCTTAACCACTTTCACAATTCTGAAAATAAGTTTGGGTGACTAAAAAAAATCTACAGTTTTCACTTCCTCTTTTAATAAACAAATGCTAATTTCTCATTTTCTACTGTTTTAAAACCACAGAATCTCTGCTTCTTCTTTCACAATTTGTCACCTTAATCACCTTAATGACTCCCCCACATTATGTCACTGGCTGGAAACTTATAATGTGAATTTTTCCCATAGTTGTTACTCAGCTCATCTACCCAATGAACCTATAATTTTGCCAATTTATTTACCAGTAGGTGGATATGGCAACCTCCATGCCTAATTTATCTGGTAGCTTTTCCCTAGTAAAATATTATATCTTCATGGAATTAAAGTACAATTTGGCAGTACATTGTATTTTCTGGAAAGCCTTGTATTATGTCATTGTATACTATTGGTATGAAATACATTACTGTCTGGAAGATAAAGCTCTCCAATGGTTGAGGATCCCAATGCAGTAGGCTACTTTTAGGATCAGATGAAGCATGCCTCCATCAGTTTCTGGGGAGTATGAGGACAGGGCCACTGCCCTTATGTCGTGCTTGTGGTTGCCTGCTGAAGATGCTGAACTAGATATAAGTTTGGTCTTATCTAGGAGGACCATTTCTTTGTTTCCACATTACCCTTTCCCCATACAGATTCCCTCTACATTAGCCTTCTTGATCCAAGTGCCCTCCAGAAATGTTGGGGTTATAATTCTTAAATCCTCAGCATGATTTGGGACCATGCTAGCTGAACATTCAAGAAGGTGTGGAATAAACCAGCTGTACATAGTTTATAATCTGTTTAAGAAGGTTCAAAGTATAAATAACAATGTTATCATACAAAATACAAATAGCACACAAATTCTATTAAAAGTGGATGTGATAATATGTGCTCATAAAAGAGATGGTCCAAATTTTGTTTATTAATCTTGAAACAATGAAATACATTAGCTAGTAATCTGTCCAAATCTGATATGAATTTGGCCTCAATAATTCTAGGACTGTTGATTGGGCTGATGAGAAGAATTGACCAGGACTTAGAAATATAGGAAACCATGAACACTTTCTTTGGTGAAGCTCAACACTCTTAAAAGTGATCATTGAGGGCTTTAAAGAAAATAAAAAGATACAGTTCCAGCCTGTGATATCTTTTTCTTGGATTCTTTTCAGACATCTGGGTTTTGTTAAAGGAACTCATTTTCTTTAATATGCATTCCCTAACTTTTACCTAGACATACCACAGCATATGTAAGATACTTCCACGCAAGCACCCCTTACTCCCCAAACCCTCAGAAGCACTCTGAAAGGGAGCCCTGACTCCTGACTGCCTTTGCTTCTGCTGACTTGAAATTCTTAGAAGAAGGAGCAAGAATCATTGCTCCATCCTGAGATGATGCAAGTCCTGAAGCAACAAAATTCCCTCATCCTCCATGCAAAAGGGAAAAAGGGAAAAGAAAATGAACAACATAGAACTCAATCGCCTGGCAATTCGAGCTTTGCCATTCTATCTTTTAGTAGCCTGATTTTTTTTTTTTTACCATGTTCTCCAAATCCAATGAGGTGAAGTTCAGGAACGAAGTAAAGTACAGCTCTTTGTGCTCCCTTTTAGCTGGCTGGTCAAAGGGAACACAGAGGATACCTCCATGTCATTACTGAACAGCAATGGTGAGATACATTTGGAGTGGTGTGAAGTCAGAGACAAACTCAGTGTGTAGAAGTGGCCCAAGAAACTTGTAGCTGAGCTACTGAGAAGGAGTTGCAAAATTGCCAAGCTAGCATTTTCCTTATAGGATCTGAAACTCAGGAGTTGAAAATAGACAAGAGTACTCTCCAATGGAGAAATGGGGCAGCAGTGTCTCAAAAAACAAAACTTTCAGCCCACAACTATGAACTTAAGCAAGAATGATTGTAATTGTTTAAAACTCAAGTGGTCAAGAAGTGGGAGAAGAAAGGGAAGTTCAGAACTTGCTTCTACCTTTTTCAAATGTTTAGGTTAAATTTTATACATACATTTGTGATATTAATTTCTAAGACTGTGCAGACTTTGGGTTCCTTCTTAAGCATATGAGAGCTTAGCAATCAATTAACAATGTTAGAAAAACAGAGTATATTCACACCATTTAAAATTAAGTGAAACTCTAAACCATTCTATAATATCTTTATCAGATATGATAGTATCTCTCAAAGCTTTCGTGGAACTGAGCAGCATATAAATGGCACAAATAAATAAATAAAGAACTGAAAAAAAGTAGGGGAAGAGAACTTTGGATTCTAAGTCGTGTAGAACTGTTTATGGTATAAAATTCTTTTTAAGTGTGTTTTGGCAAGTCCTGAAGAATTGACTATCAAATAATTCATGGAAATATTAAACATTAAATGTAATTATATTAATCAAAGAGTTTCTATATGGCACTGGAAAGGTTGTAACCAAATTGGTATGTATTACTATGTCTGTTGACAGTGGTCATTATACTCATTTATTTGAAAGTTTTGAGAAAATTGAAGAAATACATAACAATCTGTAACAATAAATTCTGGAAAAGATGTATTGCCTGTTTTTTCTAGGACATATAAAATCATGCAACTCAAGAAATTAATTCAGTTTTGATTGTTAGTCTCCATTTTTAATTATAGCAACAAAATTGATAGAGCATCGTCATCTTTCCAATGTCTTTTTGGACAAAAATATTGAATATGTTTGTTTTCTTCTTTAAGCCTATAAATGAATGGGTGTATTTCAAATTATGTGGATGTTTGTTTTACATAGTTTCTGTTTCCTACTTTTAGATGGAGGCTTCCCCACCCCGCACTCCCCAGTGTTTTATTGATAAGTTTAAATATTTGGAGGGCAGCTGCATGATCCTGAGAAAAAAGATGCAGCTGTTTTCAGTAATTGCTGATAGGGGCTATGTAAGTATCGATCATCCCTGCTTCTGTGCTACGAAGTGCCCTTTCCCTTTTGAATCAACAACTCTGCACATTCAGGGGATATTGGAGTTGCCATAACAGAGTGAGAGATTCTTGATTTTTTTTGTTGCCCTAATGATATTTCAGGTGTGAAAATGATACTGCATGGAACTGTGGGAAAAAACAACAACAATATGAGGGATAGAAAAACCTTCTCTAGAACAATGCCATATAAAATATTGTAAAATGTTCCAAGTGAGGGGCTGGTGTGAGCTACTGAGTTAAACTGGACTTTCTAGGATAGAGGAGAGAAAGGCATTGGGACACAAAAATGCGGAATAATTTTCCAATGATAGGTTTACAGACCCAGGCAGCACAGAAGAAAAAGGTTCATGTGGAAATGTTCTATGTTCATTGCTGTTGGTAAGACTATTGTAATACTATATCTCTGATTATGTTTAAAATTTTTGATTATAAAGAGAATGAAGAATACCCTGTGGGACTTTCCCCCTCCGGCCTGTGGCCTTTAAACTTCCTTAGCATGTGGGTGGGGGGAGGAGGGGGAATCCCCAATCATCTGTTTCCGGTGATCTTTACAGGCTGCTAGACAGCATCTTTTTCACTTCTTCATACTTGCCTTCTCCTGAAAAGAACAAAGATCTCCCCTTCTACTGAGCATTCATGGCATCAATACATTGCTATCAGCTTGTCTTCCTAAGTCAGAGTAAATACTTTTCCTTTCTATGTTTTATTACTCCCTGCCTCTTCATTTTCTCTATACCTTCAGGATCTTTATTTTTAAAATACCTTTCTTTTAGAACATCATTCTACAGTTCTTCATTTTTACTATATTTTTTTAGAAATCGTCTCCTTTTTTTTGAATGTCTTGTTTTGCAGTCTGGCATGGGCTTCATGCAGTAGTTGATGTCACACAAGAAGTTGAGGCACCATGTAATGAAGATGCTTTTCTCCCTTGTAAGGTTTTCCAGGATCTACAGCTCACAACTGGAGCAGTCTCTTGGTATAAGGTAAAAATCTGCTGCGATTCACTTTCTTCTCATTTCCCACACCTGCCCACATTCTGTTTCATGCCTAAATGGATATAAGATGCCATGCTGAGAGGGTGAAAAATATGTTGCCATAATTATATGGATTGCTGCGGTTGTTTCAGTTCATATATTGTATTATTATCTATGTGTTTATCTGAAAATGGCTAAATATACCCTGATAAGTGTGTGTGAATGCATACTGGAGAGCGATAATTTCTAGTACTCCCAGTTTGCTGACTGTAGTTCCTGACATCTGGGGGGCTCCAGGTTGAAGAATGGTGCTTTTGCAGATGAAAGCACCTTTATGTCATGAGCTCTTAACATTCTGGACAGGGAATGTATTGCTTCTTTATTCTCTATACTAGTTCATAGCAGCTGGAATAATGTCCCATGTTGCCTCTCTTCCTTCATTCCTTTCTTCTTTTTGGTTTTTTTTTTGCATTTTTTTTAAATCAGTCAAATCATTTTCAAGAGCAGGTAGGCTTGAGCAGCAAAAATGATAGAATGCAGTCAAGGCAAACAGGCAAATTGTAGAATTAATCACTTAAAAAAAAATCTATTAAGGGCCTAATCAATAAACAGTGTATTTAAGCCCTCTAGGGGACTATTAAATAATAATTCCAACAAATTGTATGACATTTTGCACTGTAAAGTTCAAACAGCTCTCAGGTTAAATCACAAGTACAGGATAATTCTGAACCGTGTAGTAAATACAAACAATTAACCTTTGACTTTGCTGCTTAAGAATTACGAGAATGATGTGACTCTGCAGGGTATGCTGCTCTTTGTGTCAAATTAATGATCAGACTGTAACAAAAACAGGATTTTCCAGCTTATTGTGTGAGACACTGTTAAAAAGATCCTCTCCCATATAAAACAACAACCCACTGAAATGAAACCATGAGTTAAAGGCTCAGCCTAAAGCTAAGTTTAAAAAATTGTTTGAATTCTTCTAATCAATAGCAAAGGATACAAAATCCAAATGAATGAAAAATCTACAATATTTCTTTCAGAACAGTAAAATATATATTGTATATGCAGTTATGCCTATGAAAGGCTTAGAACAGGATATTGTGTTAAATCTTTTAATAATACACTTCAATTTACCTTAACATGTAACTCAATCACAGCAATACAGGCTGATTTTCAGAAGGGTAACCATATTAACAGTTACCATTAAAACAACACAGTGTTATAGCATCTGACGAAGCCAGACTGTATCTGTGAACTTTTATGCTGCAATAAATGCAATTGTCTTTTAGGTACCCCCCAGATATTCGTTGTTTATATTTATTGTTCACATGTTGTATTTAAAAACATCTGTTAGGAAAATACTTTTTGCAGTCGAAGAATCTGGATTTTTTGTTGTTGTTGAAATATCCTTCAGCAAACAAAAATACTCCCGAAGGATAAAACTTAGCAATTTTCACATGTGAAAAAGAGCATTGCTTGTTTTGCAGTACCAGTGTATGAAATTCATATGTTCAATCTGCCATCAAATGATTCATGGTTCTTAAACTTCCTATCCCATTTCCCCAACTGTAGCAAACTAAAGTGGGTGTTCATCTGTTACACCGTGATAGAATGCAGACCAGTATGTAGAAATCCATCTGCTCTGTGTGTGCCGGTCTTTGGTGTTATATCCATTAACCTTCCCCTGTCTGGTACTCAGGTTGGCTTGGTAATTATGGAAGTTCGTCTAAGACATCTGAAATGCCCCAGTATGTTGTCATATTTATTTTCATTGTAGTTGCTTCAGCAGATGATTAGTTCATTGCACCTAAAATAATGTTTATATTGGGATATGACCCATAGTAGATGGCGAAACTGGCATCTTTTCTTCTTCCTGACCCTGGATCACCCTCAATCCCTCATAAATGGCTTGAACCTGACTCACAATCATCCTTCCTAGCAACACTGAAACACTGCTCATCCTTTTTCCTTCCAGTGGACCAACGGAAGAGCAGAATTTGGTGCATGGAATAAAAAACTCAACTAAGCCCACTGCACACAAAAAGGAAATACCATAAATTGCTACTATGCACTCTCCCTGTTTATTCTTATCCTGCCTTTTGTTCCAGAGCTCAAGGTGGTATACACAATACTCCCTCCCCCCATTTTTCCACACAGCAACCCTGTGAGGTAGGTTAGTCTGAGAAAGAGTCATTGGCCCTATATGGCTCAGGGCCTGGGTATTTTAGGGACTGCTTTTCCTTAGTAGTCCTACCTAAACTATTAGGGAATGCCTGGTGAGGGTCCCCACCTATCAGAAGGAATGGTGGGAAGAGGCCCCTTAATGGTCATTCTCTGCAGCAGCCCCCTCTTTTGGAATAGCTTGCCTCCAAGGCAAGAATGGCCTCATGACTTTCCAGAAACAGGTGAAAACATGGCTCTTCCAGAAGGCCTTTGGGGATTAATTAGAATCAGCAGTGCCATACTCAATACTATTTATTTATTTATTTGTTTGTTTGTTTGTTTGTTTGATGTATATCCTACTTTTGTACAGTTCAAGGCAACATACATAATGCTGCAGCCTCCTACTTGCTCCACATCAATTAGATTTGGATTTACTACATTGATTTTGCATTGTGGTTTATATGTAAATTCTGTAAGCTGTGTTGGGTGGTGCACAAATCTCATCAAACAAACAAACATGAACTCACCCAGTCTGTTTCCAGCACCCAGTCACCTTAAATATGGGTACATATATTTGTCTGCATTTATCTGATGGTTTGCAAAGAAATCTGAGACATTGCTATAGAAAGGAAAGTTATGTGAGAGAAGCTCAGTTGTGAAAATTGTAAACAAAAGCACCAAAAGCTTCCAAAAGCTTCCCAGCTGTGCTGGCTCCTTGAGCTCTGCAGTGAAATGCTAATATGGCAGCAATTTTGCACCCGGGTGCGTTTCCCAATAGCTGTATCATGGTTCCATGTTGCCATGGTGGTTGGATCAATGGCGGGGTGAGTTAAGTTCAAAATATACAGGAAGAGACAAGTTCAAGGAACAGGACACTGAATCCTTTGCTGGGACTTGTGTGGGGAGGAGGAGAGAAAGTAATGGCTGGGAAGTGAATGAGACAAGACACTGGGAAAACATCTGCAGATTTGTGGTTCAAAGAAAAATGCCAGCATTCCTGTGATTTCAAATAACCGAAGGAGAGTAAGAATAAATCAGTTAAGCTCCCAAAAACTGATAATATTGGGAGATACATATTCTAAAACGCTGCTTAAATCTAATACATCTGAAAGGTGCCAGGTTGTAGAAGGTGATATATATCATCTCAGCACCTCAAATGGAACCGATCCCCAGGTCTTTACAATAGCTATTTTCCCACTTCTGTAAACAGCAGCCAATAGTGTGAAGTTGAGGCTAGTGAATTCAACTCATAATGATGTCATAAGCCAGCAAGTGGTTACAGCAGTGTTTCTCCACCTTGGCCACTTTAAGATGTGTGGACTTCAACTCCCAGAATTCCCCAGCCAGCATCTTAAAGTGGCCAAGGTGGAGAAACACTGGGTTGCAGACTACATTACAGCTATTAAATGTATAAGAAATGTATAGTTTCTTATTTCATATTGTGTGATTGAAATAAACAAAGGATCAGGATGGGAATATTGAAATGAGGCATTCTGGATTAGCAGGAATAGTTCATTTGTGTTCAGTCTACCTGGTTTCTGAAGAATTGATTGATGTGATAGATGAGTGATAGGTCTGTGCATTTTATTGAACTGGCTATTGAACAATATTAGGACTGATAATAAATATACATTTAATAGCTGTAATTTTTCATGACAGAATGTTTGACTATCAATGCTTTAGCTGCAGTGGGATGTGGTATAAAATTTTGCAGTTTGTTAAAACAAATTTTATTTATTTATTTATATTTATATATCAAATTTGTCACCACCCATCTCACTGAACAACTCTGGGCCGTTTACAAAACAGTGAAAATCAATTAAGATTACAAAATTACGATCTACCATTAATAAATAGAAAATAAATAGATCCAAGAATAATTGGCAGTCACTCAGGGAGCGTCATCAAGGCGCTAGCCACCCCCAGGATTGGGTAAAGTTGTTATCACCCCACGCAAGCTGGCAGAGCCAGTTCTTTAATCCTTTCTGGAAGGCCAGGAGGGTAGGGGCCTGCTGCACCTCTGGGGGAAGAATGTTCCAAAGGGCGGGGGCAACGACAGAGAAGGCTCTCCTCCTGGGCTCTGCCAGCCGACATTCTCTCGCTGACGGGATCCACAACATGCCCTCTCTACCTGACCAGGTGGGATGGGTTGATGTGACGTGGGTGAGACAGTCCCTGAGGTAACCTGGGCCCATGCCATGTAGGGCTTTAAAGGTGATAACCAACACTTTGAATTAGACCTGGAAGCAGACTGGGACCCAGTGCAGCTTGCGAAGTAAAGGTGTTATATGTGCCATTCTTGGGGCACTCAAAATTGTCTGCATGGCCGCATTTTGGACCAGCTGTGGCTTCCCGATACTCTTCAAGGGTAGCCCCATGTAGACTGCATTGCAATAGTCTAGCCGAGAGATGACCAGGGCGTGAGTGACTGACTGGAGAGCCTCCTGATCCAGGAAAGGGCATAACTGGCTTACCACACATAATCCTCATGTTTCTGGATTATAATTATTATTAAATATTATTATACTTTATATACGGACTGTTTAGATTATCTCCCTCCCTAGGGACCCCACAGCAATTTATCTATGAAGAATTTAAACCATTTTATAAAAACCCTCATAAATCCTAAAAGACAATAACAATACAAAAAATTAAAATAACTTTCTCTTTTAAAAAGCCATTTTTGTGCTCTGTAAATTTTTAATCTGATATCTATCTGTCTGTCTGTCTGTCTGTCTAACAGAGGAAGTAAGAAAATAACACCTAAAAATTACAATCCAGAAAGGGTGGATATAATAGAGTATCTAATTAACAGTTTCAGGATATTAAAAAACAAAATAAAAAAAAATCCTTGTAAAATCTAGGCAAAAATGAATCTTCCTGTCAAACTGACACATGACCACTAGATGTCCCCACAGGCAAAATGTTATTAGATAACTGAAAGAACGTGTCCTAAAGGGAAAATGAGTGCATAGCATTATGTTTTTGAAGAATTGTCACTGGAAAGGACATTAATTGCCTTATATTATTTGCTGTCTTGGGCTGTCATTTTTTCACTTGAAGGCACAGTAGTTCCAGTTTGCACATATTACCTCTATAAGTTGTTTCCCTGTTAACATACACTTGACTTTGTGGATCACCAAGGCAGATTATTTAACCCTTATACTGTAGCAGGCTCCTTAACTTTAAAGTCTTGTTTGTTTAGTTCTAGCATGGCTTTTTTTTGGCCCTACTTCATCTGAGCCACCCCACCCTGCCACCAGGACTTTCTGTCTATCCGAAAGGAAGAGATTAAAATATGTATTAAATATTCATCAAACTGGAGCCAGCCTTAGATCAAGTGGCCCTGCAGGCACAAAGCATTTCAGGCCTGTGCCTCCCATTCCTGCCCAGTGTTCATTCCCATAATCAACAATAACATCAACTGAAAACTGCACTAACAGCTCCATACACGGATTCTGTGCTGGCTTGAAAGCAGCTCCAGGTCTCTCTGATTCTACAATGTCAGCAGGGTTGGAAGCTGAGTCTTTTATTTCCAGCTCAGCCCTGATGCAGCTGAAACTACAGCAAAGCTACTGTTTGCTTTTGCAATACTTTGAGCCTTTCCCCCCGTGCATCTATCCATAGTAAAAATCATGTTCTGATAACGTCTTTTTGCTTTTTACATGCGCTTTTTTCCAGCTGTTTGAGATAGCACAATATACCAGTATAATTTGCTCTGTCTATGTAGCTGGTCTCTAATCCACCCCAGTGAGCAATACCATCCTGAAATTTTAGTACATGGCAAGTTAAAATGCAGCAATTGGTGAATTTCCCTCTTAGCAGGAAAAGCTTCCACCAGTCACTCCACCTTGTGTGGGCCATGGCTGGGGGAGGAAGCAAATTTTGACAGTTAAGAGTGGCAGATTTAGCCATTGACAGAACTCTTGAATTATAAGTACTGCTCTAGCAATCTGCTGGATGCTGTATTTTGCTTGATAAAAGGCCTTTCTCAAATAATAGCAGGCAAACCAGAACCAGGAGCTCTGTACAGTGACTCACCTGTTACACTATGAAGAATTCTACAGGAATCTGATTGGCAGCTTGAGGTAGAGAGATCCTGGTCTACTTGCTATCACTAAAGCAACAAGTGCTAGAGGAAGTGATACACCAGGATCTCTTTAGAGAAATCTGTCTGTCTAAAACAACGTGTCTCTGATGACTTCCTCTGTTGATCTTGCCGTGCTGCTCCTGTCCTGGTGTCATGACATTCCAGCAGCACAAACCAAAATGGCCATGGGGAGAAACTGGTAATGGCTGGAAATACAAAGATGTGCTTGCATCAATAGGAGCTCAGCAGAACCCAGCCCTGGCACCCCATCACCATGATCACTGGCTAAGTGACAAAAGCCATTCATACAGAAGATGGGAAACACCTCCCCATCAGATCAAGATAACCTGAAGTCAGCCAGCCTTGGGTATGGGCTGCAGACTGATTGATTCGTTGACTGATAGACTGGAATGTAGATGATAGGAAGGCTGTGATATTGTGATGGAATGGAATTATGAAGGCCAGGCTCAGGGAGAAAAACATTTCTTAGCTCACCGGAGGAGCGTGGGAGATTCAAGAGGATGAGACTGGCACCTCCCTGAGGAATTTACACTGTTGTGGCTGGCTGACTTGGGAACTGGGGTTTCAGTCTGGGAAGATTCTTGCTAGA